GGGGAAAAAAGAAGCAAGGAAGCTAGTTAGAACAGAATTCAGGACGTAGAACCACAAGAGTAGAGTTGCCACTGTTCCAGGGGAAGGAGGGGACAGGGTGGGAAATAGCTGGAATTTAAAACAATCTCCTTGGTGGCACTCAGCACCACCCCCCACTTTTAAAGATTTTATTTGACAGAGAGACAGACAGCGAGAGAGGGAACACAAGCAGGGGGAGTGGGAGAGGGAGAAGCAGGCTTCCTGCGGAGCAGGGAGCCTGATGCGGGGCTCAATCCCAGGACCCTGGGATCATGACCTGAGCCGAAGGCAGATGCTAAACGACTGAGCCACCCAGGCGCCCCCACTCAGCAACCCCTTACCGCTTAGTGCCAATGGCATCCAGCTCATCAATGAAGATAATGGATGGAGCTTTCTCCTTGGCCAGAGCAAAGGCATCCCGGACCAGCTTGGCACCATCCCCAATGAACATCTGCACCAGCTGGGGGCCAGCCAGCTTCAGGAAGGTAGCCTGGCGAAGGGGTACGGTGACAAGAGTCAGGCCAAAGGCACCAAGAGAGGTCCCTCTGAGCCTGCTTGGTAGAGCTTTAGCTTCTGCCCATTTCTTCCTCATTCCCTTCCAAAGCACTCACCTTGGTCTGTGCGGCACAGGCCCGGGCCAGCAGGGTCTTCCCCGTACCTGGTGGGCCATACATCAACACCCCTTTTGGAGGCTGGATCCCCAAGTTCTCAAACTTCTCCTTGTGGTTCATTGGCAGGACAATGGCCTCCACCAGCTGCGAGGAAGAAGTCCTGGGTGAGGAGAGTGAAGCCTGGAGGGCTCCTACAGCCTGACACTTAATGACTTCAACCCCAACCCGCAAACCTCCTAACGCCAATTCAGGGACACGGCCTCTCCTTCCCTTGCATCAGAAGGACGCAGAATGCTCACTCCCATCAAGGCTGCCTACGGCCGCTCCAGGAACAGCAGGACATGGTGGAAAGGCACCAGGAGAAGAACGAGGAGCCTGAGTTCCAGTCCTGGCTCTGGTCCTAACCTTCTGTGACCCTCGAGACAAATCATTTAATCTCTCTGGACCTCAGTCTCCTTAACTGTTACATGGCACCCTCCTTACCTCCCTGGGGTGCTATGATAAGAGGCATGTTGGCAGTAAGTGCTCTGGTCAATGAAGCAGAAAAACACAAAAGGTGGGCAACACTGCTACTAGCAGCCCGTGCCTCCCTCACCTCCTGAATCTGCTTGTCCAGGCCCCCGATGTCACTATATTGTTCTGTGGGCCTCTCATCCACCTCCATGGCCTTCACCCGAGAGTCATACTCTGTGGGCAGGGTCTCCAGGATCAGATAGGAATCTTTGTTCACACCCTGGGGACAGAGCACAAAGCCTTCAGATTTGTCCCAGCTCAAGACCTAACTAACTGGCTGGGTGGCAGGTATCTGTAAAATGAAAGGAAAACACAGGACTAGGGAAGACAAGAACCAAAGAGCAAGCTGATGAGCTCGGACTCCTCAGGCTGCTCTGCCAAGGTTCAGGGCCAACAGTGACCTGGGCCTGTGGCAGAGGCTCAGCTAGTCAGTGGGAGAAACCTCACTGGAAAAGCCCTGCCCAGGTTCAGGGACACCACTCACCACCAAGTCTCCTGGCTTTAGCTTTTCAGCATCCACCAACCCAATCACAGGCAAGAAGTATGTCTGTGGGAAAAATTCTAGGTTGAATCTCAGTTACTGCCTTCAGTAATAAAGCTCCCTAGTCCTGTCCCACCTCCACCCCTCACCCTCCTTAGTTCTACCCTTGAGCTAGCCTCACCTGTCGTGTAGAGGTTTTGATCACTGCACATTTACCCTTCCTCTGGGAATCCAGGTCAATATTGGCACCATCCTCTTCTTGGTCATTGGGATCAACATCGAGAAGCTGGGAAGGGAAAAAGCTCACGTCAAGATGCCCTGCTCAGCCCCCTGAACTCCTCAGAGACTAGCACCTCCCAGGTGAAAACAATCCACCCCGTTCCTCAGACCAGCCCCAGGATCAGCAAAGGTGTGGCTGATAAGCCAGGGGATCGATAAGGTCCCTTTAGGTGTTGCTTTTCTGTCCAAGGGCTCTCTACCCTCCAAGAGGAAACCTGTGTGGCTTCTGAGGCCTTTTCAGGGTGTCTCGGTGTGTATATATAGCACCCTGGAAATGCCCACTAGGGAGGGGGCCCCAGGCGGTGTAGTTCTAACGTGCAACTTGGGCCTCAAAACCTTTCACCCACTCTTTTTCCAATGGCCCCATCGCAGGCTGCCTCCAAGCCCAGCTGACCCTTTTCTCTTCCCCTCCACATACACACACACCTCGATAACGTTGGACACAAGGTATGGCAGGGTCTTGTTCACTTTGATTTTCTCACTGTTCTCTTTGATCTTGTCCTTCATGGCTTGGAGTTCATGGGTAACTCGCAATACTTCACTCTTCATGATCTGGGATGAGGGCGAGTGGAAGCAAATGTTCAGCCTGGGCTCAGCTTATCCTAGGGCCCTGTAATTGGTGAGGCCCAGGCTGCCCAGGGGACCTTCCAACATCCATTCACTCAGCTGAAGGGTGAACCTGTGTCCACATCCAGCAGAGGGCAAAATGGGCCAGTCTGGAAACCTCCTGAAGGTAGTTGTAGCAGAGGGAAAAGAGCAGGCCTCTGAATCAGACAAATACAGGTTTTAGCTTCTGCTTCTTAATTAAGGGCTGGGTACTTCACCACAGTAAAAACCTCTCTGTTTACTCATCTGTAAAATGAGGACTTTCTGAAAGAAAGATTCTCAAAAGTAGTATTTAAAAACCTTGCTGGCGGGGCGCCTGGGTGGCTCAGTCGGTTAAGCGACTGCCTTCGGCTCAGGTCATGATCCCAGGGTCCAGGGATCGAGGCCCACATCCGGCTCCTGCTCGGCGGGAGGCCTGCTTCCCCCTCTCCCACTCCCACTGCTTGTGTTCCTGCTCTCGCTGTGTGTCTGTCAATTAAATAAAATCTTCTAAAAAATAATAAAAAAATAAAGACCTCGCTGGAAAAGGCAGTCTGATGAATCCTTCTCTCAGACCTGCCCTCCCACCACCCTGTCCCTCTTCGTGTCCCTTTCAAGGCTTAGTTTTCTTTTCACTCTTTCTAATCCGTGGGCCCTATGTCTTCCTGGAAAGGCCGAGAACAACGTGAAAGACGCTGCTGGGATCCAGGGCCTGCCCTGCGGGGGCTTCGCTGCCCGCCACTGGGGCTGTGAGCCCACCTTGATCTCACTGTCCAGCAGCCGTGTGCGTTGGATGATCTCTTCTGTGGACATCTTGAGCACCTCCTCCCCGATTCCATCTTGCTGTTAAAAAAAAAATTTTTTTTTAAACTCAGGTCAAGGATTCCCCATCCTCAGAGCCCACTCACAGCCTCAGCTTCCCCGCCCATAAAACCAAAATGAAGGTGTCGAGACCCTTGCCCACATTCCAAGCGGCCCCAACCCCGGGACCAGGCCAGACCTTGACTCCCCCAACCACTTCCTACCCTCCCGCCACAGGCGTCTTCCCGTTGGCCCCGGCTCCAAGGCCCCCAACTCTCCCAGCGCGCACCTCAGCCTCATCCCACACGGTCGCCATCTTCTCCTGCCGAGTCACTGGACTCTCGAGTTTCGGCAGCAGATTCATATCCCGAAGGAGAAGACCGAAAATCGGACTGGAGAGAAACTTCAGCCAGGATTAATACTATTTTTCTGAAGGCCTGCTCCTGACTACTGGCGAACCTCTCTCTCCAATTCCTGACTCTTGACCGAATTAGTTCCGGCCGCCACTGCTACAACGAATCTGCTTCTCCGATTCAAAAGACCAAGCCCGGGACACAGGACCCGCCCCACCGCCGCTCCTGAAACGTTACCACCCTCGTCCAGTTTAAGCCGGGAGCGACAGGTGGATGCGCTATTGGTCGGTGCGCGCAATGGGCGGAGCCTGGATGTAAAACCGGAAGGGGAGGGAGAAGCGATGGGAACCTCGAGGGCCCTTGGGAAATGTAGTCTTAATCTAGCCAGTAATTGAAAGGGCGCTTTGGAAGGAATGATTCGACCTCAGAATCTGGCGCAGCTAGGAATTAGGACATTCGCGAGATGGCTCTGCTTCCCAAACCATAGGCAACATACGCCAGCCGTGTGCAGAGAGGCAAAAAAAGGCATGCCCAAGGTTACCAGAGAGAATCATTAACCAGTTTTAAAGAGAAATCGCTGCTGTTAACTTCTGAGCAGGCTGCCACAGACCTGCCCACGTGGGCAGAGCTGAATTGACAACAGCCTCTACAATTAAAAACATTATGACTCACATCTGTAAGCGTTTCTTGTCATCTCAAGGAGTAGGGCAGTTCTCTGGATCATGAGACCCATTTTTGTTGTATCTGTGTGACTTGCTCTGGAGGATCTCTGCTTATGACTCTAAGGTGAGACCCAGGGCACCCCTAAAATGAACTTCATGTGAGCCACAAGGCATATATTTTCAGTCAAGCCTTCACTAAGAACCCCTAAACTTGGTGGGAAACTAGTGGTTTTCTTGGAAGCAGTTGAAAGCAGAAACTTCTTTAAATAACAGCATCTGCTAAAGGTTAAGTGACTTGTCCAAGGTCGTTCAGTGACTTGGTGTCAGCACAGGAGCTGCTGACCCCAAATTCACACTTGTCAGAGCTGCCTGACAGGAGTCAAGAAGACCAGTTGGGGAAGAAGCTGTCCTGTCTGTGCTGGCCCCAGCACACCGGCAAAAAGAGTCAGAATCGCTGGGCTCAGGTACAAACAGTTTATTTTTCTACAAAGAGCAAAGTACAAAGAGGCAGGGAGGGCAGTAGAAGCTGGAGGAACAACAGGTGGGCAGGTCCTGGGCCGCAACAGGTTGGAGGAGGCCCTGGCGGCTGCCCCAGGAGTAAACAGGGTCCAAGGCATGGCGAATCAGGGGCCCCCAGCATGATGATGGACAAGGAGGAGGGGGAAGTGAGGCAGAAGCCCAAGACTGCTGGTGGGACTCACACAAAGCCAGGCTTCATGGATGAGCGGCGGCAGTTGGGGCAGCTACGTGTCCTGTTGCTCTGCAGGCACCTTGGGAGGCAAAGGACTCTGTCCATTCACTGAACCCAGGGCTTCCATCCTGGGCCTGGGCTCTCTCTCCTCTCCTCCCCTCTGCGGGAGCTGGGACGGTGTCAAAGGAGAGGGTAGGGCTCCCAGGCTCCTCCCGGCGTCCCTGCTTGCCCCTGACACTCTGTCCTGGGCCTTCCAGGAGGTCAGGAGTGAGGAGGTCGGCATGGAGGCAGGTCTAGCCCTGGGTGTCCGAATCTCATGGCCTTTGAGAGGCCTCTCTGAATTCTCTTTGGGGGGAATAATGATGGCCACCTCATAGGGCTACTGGGATAATAACTCCCAGTAATAACTCCATGAGTTATTACAGGGGAAGCTTTTAGAACACGCTTAGAACGCAGAGTACTCTACATTCGGTGGCACTACTGTGCTTAGGGCAGCTGGGGCTCTAGTGTACCCCAAAGAGACCGTGGGTGCCCCCTGCCCACTGGCCAGGAGCCCTCACCTGAGGTGGAAGATGTGGGAGCATGGCAAGGCCTGCAGCCGGCTGTTCCTCTCGCCTATGGACTCGCCACACAGGCCGCAGTAGAGCTCGGTCTCCTCCACACACTCGTGGAAGCGCACGACGTGGGCGCGGAGCTCGCGCTGCAGTCCCTTGCTGCGGTAGATGCTCTCGCTCAGGCAGTGCAGCTTGAGCTGGCTCAGCTGGGGCCAGCAGGGACCGGAGAGCGGGCGTGGGGGACAAGACCACGTCAGTACTGGTGAGCCTCCCTCCTTGCCCAGCCTGAGAAGCTGTCCCCGAGGGCCCACCGAGCAGTCAGGACACACAGGGTCTGGTCCTGGCAGCATTCTTGCCTCGCTGATGGGCCTAGGAAAACCGTCCCACGCTCCCTGGGCCTTGGCTTCTCCCCACGCAGAATGGGCGGGGAGGGAGGTAGTCAGTGCTCACCCCTAGAACTAGCTGGGAACCCCATGTTTTTGAAGTATTTTATTGACCAGATCTGCTGCATTGACACCATAATGATTAATTTGCTCTCCTGTTTTTGTTAATTAAATACACACAACAGCTCATCAGCATTTCTGACCGACCTGAGATACTTGGGTAAAACTGAGTGGCTATAATCTATCCAAAAACGAAGATATTTGGCATTTTAGTTGGGCTGTGCACTGGATCCCAGAGAAATTTGTATCTTCTAGAAGGCTTCAAGAAACACTGAGCCTATTGTCAACATTTAAAGGTTTGGATATAACTATTAAATTTGAGAGGCCACAGACACTATGGGAGGATCACGGGCTTTGGAGTTAAGACAGATCAGGTACCAAGTGTGGGTCCTGGAGCACCTACCTCCCTGAGCCTCGCTTTCCTTACCTGTAAAATGGGGCTTGCAGTGCCCACCTTGCAGAGAGACAGTGAGGAGTGGGCCAAATACCTAGAAGAACCTGTGTGTGTCCAGCTCTTAATGAGTGGACCCACTGTTGGAAGATTAAATAACCATCAAGAAGCTCTGAGGAATTCTGAGGTCCTCTGAGCTACAGAATTCTTGCCCTGCCCTCCAAAGTGCTCTGTGGGTGGAAGAGAAATAGCCAGGGTGTGGGAATGGGTGGGGGCAGCTCCTGGAGATCCAGAAGGGCTCAGGGCATGTGCAGGCTCAGGGAAGCCCTCTCCACACACCCGAGATCCCACCTTGGGCTCTTGACTCCAGACCCAGAAGACAGAAATCAGGTCTGACCTTGTTCCCCACTTCCTCGGCCAGGTCCTGGGCTTTCTCGATGGCATCCAGAGCCTGGAAGGCAAGCACAGGCCAGGGCTGCGGGCAGAGCTGACAGAGGCCTTGGCTCACAGGAAAGGAAGGGGCTGGGAGGGGCGGGCCTGGGGAGGACATCATGGCTGGGCAGCTGCCCTGCGTGTGAAGGTAGCAAAAGGAGGCTGGAGCCCAGTCACAGAGCTGTGTGGTCAAGTTACCTGTTGCCTCAGTTTACTCAGATACAGAATGGGAAGAATATTCCTGTCTCATTGGGTGTTGTGAAATCGTGAAAGCCGTTAAAGCATCCTGAGTTCCAACCCACCTCTGGCCCTTTACTAGTTGTGGGTCTGGGCACGTTGTGGGCCTTCTCTGAGTCTGGAAAATGGCTTGGAATGTACTCACCTTATGGGATTCGGGTGAGGCTGATGTTAGACAAAATGTCTGAAAGAGTCCTGCCTAGGACCAGCCCCACAGAGTGTTGGCTGACCTACTGGCTCCAAATGGGAGCACCAGGGAGAGCCGGGGGCTGTAGGAAACAGCCCCATCTCACCTTGTCCAGCGCCTTCCTGGCTATCCAGCATTTGGCCACGCCCAGCAGCACCTGCACCTGCCCCAGGCGGTTTCCAATCTCCGTCATGATGCTCATGGCAGAGTCGTACCTGGGGAAGGCTGTCTGCACAGCCGGGGGAGGGTGCAGTCAGACTGGACCAGGCCTGCAAGCCCTCCCTCCGCACTCCAGGGGCCTCACCTCCAGGTCCCCGCGGCTCCGGTGGATGTCAGCAAAGCAGAGCAGGCAGAGGGCCTGCAGTGGCCGGTCCCCGTGCTGCAGAGCAATCTTCATAGATTCCTGTGAAGGGAGGCTGGCAGCTCAGGCCTGCACATCTGCCCCCCCCACCACCACCACTGGGGTGTCATTACTCAGTGGGCCCCTCTGACAGGGCAGCCCAGGGATCACCAACATCCTCGGAGCCCAACAGACCTAGCATGGTGCCGAGGCCCCACCACACCCACCCAGTGGACAGAAGTGACTTGACCAAGGGCACCTGGCTAGTAAGTAGCGACGCCAGGATTTGAAGCCAGGTCAGGTCAGTGGCACTCCAGAGACTGGCTTTCTTCCTACTGAAAGTGCCCCACAAAGAGTGTGTATGGGGGGAGGGCAGAGGGAAGCCCCTCCCCTGAGAATGGATTGGAAGGGAGTGAGGTTTGGGACAGGGGAGTGGGCAGAACAAATGCATCCTTCGGGGCACATGGAGAAGGGGGCCAAGGGCAAATCTTGGGGCCCTAAGTGGATTGATGTGGGAGGACACCCAAGCCCACGCCACCACCTCCGCCTGCCCGCCTTCCCTCCTGGCCTACCTCACAACACTCCATGGCGCTGCCCAGGTGGCCCAGCAGGCGATAGGCCACAGCCATGTGGTACTGGCTCATGGCCCGGTACTTGAGGCTCCAGCCTTTCCCATAGTCGCTAACGAGCTCTGCGGCCTTGCAGGGGAAGAACAGGGCTTTCTCATAGTCCTGCAGGGGGGGACACAGGGAGGAGGTGGGACAAGAAGGGGCCCATTGAATGGCCGGAGCTGCCCTTAAGTCAAGGGCTCCAGGGCCCCGCTGGTGTTCGCTCATTCATTCAGGTGTCCCAGGAAAGAGTGATCCAGGCAGAAGGAACAGCCACTGAAAAGGTGTGGGCTCCGTGAACCTAGGAATTTTCATCGGGTTTGCGGATGCATCCCAAGAGCCTAGCACAGTTCTTGGCATTTAGTAGATGCATAGTGAATATTTGTTGAATGAAGGGATGAATGAGAAGGCAAGAAAATACAGTTGGCTTCTCTTCTCACTTCGTCCCAGTTGGGCCCCTTATCTTCAGAGACACACAAAAGGGGGGTACCAGGCCCCCGCTAGTGTTTGCCCCCCGGTACCCAGCAGCAGGTGCTCACTAAAGGCTCAGGGTCTGGTTGCCAGCACAGTCGGCTCCAAAGAACATTGGAACAGACTCACTGAGGCAATGAAATCATTCCTTCATCCTTTCTTTCTCCTCAAACCTCCAGAAGCTCTTTCTACCTGTCTGTTATCAGCTAATGATCTTGCTTCATACTCCACGGGGAAAACAGAAGAGAGTCAGAGAGGACTACCTTCTCCACCACTCTGCCTTCTTCCTGCCACTCTGGAGGAGGACTCCCTGCTCCTACAGATGCGAGTCCCTCCACGGGGCTTGGGAACAAATCCCATGGCTCTTTCTTATTCTTTTTTTTTAAAAAAAGCTTTTATTTATTTATTTGACACAGAGAAAGCGCGCACAAGCAGGGTGAGCTGGAGCGGTAGAGGGAGAGGAACAAGCAGACACTCCACTGAGCAGGAAGCTCGATCCCAGGACCCTGGGATCATGACCTGGGCCGAAGGCAGCCGCTTAACAGGCTGAGCCACCCAGGCGCCCCCCGCCCCCATCTCTTTCCACTCAATCATTCCTTCCCATCAGCATACAAATACATTTTGGCATTTCTTGCCTCATTAAAAAAAATCAATTTCAAACAACTTTCTTTTGACCTCATGTCCCCTTCAGCTATAGCCCCATTGCTCTGTTCTTTCTCATAGAAAATCTGTTTGATCTTTCACTTCATATCTAACAAGAATCTCCAAGTTAATATGACCAAAAGAGAACTCTCGATAACTCCAATAAAAAGCTGTTCCTCAGAAATTTTGTTGCATACTTTTTTTTAAAGTTTTATTTATGTAAGTAATCTTTATGCCCAACATGGGGCAGGACCTCACGATCCTGAGATCAAGAGTTGCACCCTCCACCAACTGAGCCAGCCCAGGGCCCCTCGTGACGCACTTTTTAAATTTGAAGCCATGTAAATGTTCTACAGCTTCAGAATTTTTTAGTTTTTTTAAAGACTTTATTTATTTATTAGACACAGAGAGAGAGATAATGAGAGAGAGAGAGAGAGATCACAAGCAGGGGGAGCAGCAGGCAGAGGGAGAGGGAGAAGCAGGCTCCCCGCAGAGCAAGGAGCCCGATGTGGGGCTCGATCCCAGGACTCTGGAATCATGACCTGAGCCAAAGGCAGCCGCCCAACCAACTGAGCCACCCAGGCACCCCAGAATTTTTAAATTTTTTTTAAAACCCTAAAAATAGAAAATGGAAATAAATGACCCTAACTACATATCATCATATTCATATATTAATTAATTGTAAGTTTAATTATAGAATTAGTATAATGTAATAATATACTATTAAAACATAATGCTATATTATTACATTATAATGTATTATATTGCATTATAGTAATGTAAACACATAGAAAAATATAACTATTTCAAATGACCTTGGAATGTATGTCCTTGGGCAGTTCATCCATAGCAGGATATTTGATAAAGACAAAAGAACGGAAGGCAAAGAAATCTTAAACTTCCTTCAGTTGTCTTTTTTTTTTTAAGTAATATTGGTATTGTCTTTGGAAAGTATTTTGTAGAATAAAATAAATGTGTAATTATGTTGCTAAAAGCCAACATTTTCAGTCTAAGAGAAAAGAGAATCAAGATTAAAATAAATTAAGGAAAATCCTGAAACATTAGATTTGAATTGCAAATATTAGCATAAACTTCGGTTGTCTTGGCAACTAAAAAGATTTAGAAGCCATCACAACCCAGTAGCAATGAGCACCTTGAGAACCCACATTTGGTCTTTAATACAATTTCCCACCAAAAAGAGCCCAGAGAAATGGCTGATTCCAGGTCTGGGGCAGGGCATATACAAGTTGAGCCTGGGACAGTTTAATCATTGCAGAAAACAATAACACTTTCAGTGTTTAAATGAAGTGTCTCCAAAGGGACACAGGAGACTTATTGAAGGAATTCCATTAACTAAAGTCAAGATAATTTGAGCATCACAAAGCACACTATTGCAATTAACTGAAGAAGACTGAATATTTAAAAAAAAAAAGTCCAGAAAAAAAAAATTCAGGATTTCATAACGGTACTCCAAAAGAAGAAAGCAAACCAAATAAGTATGATCATTGGAGGCAGCTATGACTTCAACTCCTTATCATCAAAGTGGGAACTAAAGGAAAGGAAAAAGTATCCTGTTTTTCCTGTAGGAACTGCATTTCAGAGGCGCCAACTAGCCCTATTTGATGGGGGAGCGTTCTTCCTTAGAGAAACTCCAGCCAACAACTGTAGAAGGAAAGGTAGAACTTGGAAATCGCCATTTCCTTATAGTCGAAATAAGAGAGCTGATTCGGGCAACAAGCATCACTGGATGCTAAATCCATTATGAAAACTGTGGCCGCAGAACTGAATTTTCACAGGGGGCCGGAGCGTCACACTCCCCCAAGTTCACCTGCTGGTCAGGGAAGGAAAAAACGCTAACCCTGAAACCGAGGGATGGCGTTGTCGCCCCCCTCTACCGGATGTGATGAAGTACGCAGCAGCGCCTACATAATCTTCTCACCAAAAAGGTGTGACCTGAGTCTTCCCTTATCACTAAGTTCCAGTTCGCTGGGAGCAAAGGGGGGGTGGGGGGGACCAGTCACGTGACTCCTTGCGGAAACAATGGGACATGAGATGAAACCTGTTAACAGGGCAATCAGTCTGTTAGATAAATCCTGGAAAATAATGGGGACGGGAGAAATCTTCTACTGAAAGAGACTTTAGGAGACATAATGCCCACGGCTCGTGTGCCTCATGTCTGTATTCCAATTTATAGAAGCCGAGGGTAGAGGCATGTTTTCAAGATAAGCAGAGAAATTCAAGAGATAATTGTGATTATGTAAGAAAGTGTCCTTATATAAGAAAATGTCTTTTTTTTCTTTCTGAGATGCATACTGAAGTACTTCGGGGTAAAATATCATGGTGTCTATAATTTCATGTCACAACACTTCAGTTAAAATATGTAAATCAAATATGGCATAATATTAATAATTGTTCAATCTAGGTGGTGGGGATATGGAGGTTCAGTATATTATTCTTTCGATTTTCCTGTACGGTTAATTGTCTTCATAATAAAAAAGGTTTTAAAACACCCTATCCCTCTCCCATCTAGCGAGTCTCACTGAGTGGGTTCTTCCTGTGTCTGGTTGCTGAAAACAAAATCCTCGGTGTCGTCCTGGCTGACTCTCATTTCCTCGCATCCCACCTCTGATTCATCAGCATTTATACACCCATTTACCCCAAGATTTTATTAAGCATCTACTGTGTGCCGGGCATCAACATCCCCCGTGGGCCAAGCGCAGCCTGGATGCCTAGGGGGTCCCAGGAGAACAAACACGCGACCAGAAACCAGCCATTGGTCACTGGCTCCATCAGTTCAAAGCGATCTGCCTTCTCCCCTCCCCCCTTACCTCTTGGTTCTCACCACCTTCCACACACAGGCTGCAGCCATGCTGGTCTCCACCATCCCTGGAACAGACCAGCTATGCCCCCCTCCTCACCCAGGAGCTTTTTCAAGCTCTTGCCAGATTTCTGCCTGGCTTACCCTCTCCTGTGCTTCCAATCAGCTATGCCCCCCTCCTCCACCCAGGAGCTTTTTCAGGCTCTTGCCAGATTTCTGCATGGCTTACCCTCTCCTGTGCTTCCAATCAGCTATGCCCCCCTCCTCACCCAGGAGCTTTTTCAGGCTCTTGCCAGATTTCTGCATGGCTTACCCTCTTCTGTGCTTCCAATCACGGACTGATAACACCTCTATGAGGCCTTCCAATCACCTGATTTGAAATTGCAACACCCCATCCTCAGCACTTCCCACCCCCTTTTCCCGCTTTCCTTTCTCCTAAGCACTTTCTAGCACGCTATGTGATTGACTTACTGTGTTTGACTCTTTCTAGAACGCAAACTTAACAAGGCCAGGGGCTTTGCCGTTGTTTTCACTGCTTGCCTCCCAAGCCCACAGAGCTGGGCATAAAGAGTCAATAAATACTTAATGAGTCCTTACAACCGTGCTGGAAGGTGGGCCCTACCCTCCCTCATTTTATAGATGTACCTACCAAGGTTCGGAGACGAGAGGTGCCAAGACCACATAGCAAACACAGGGCAGTACGGGTTCATGGCCAGTCCTCAGAAGGAGCCTCCCATTCCCCCAGGAAGGCAGACTGACCAGGGTTTGAATTCTGGCCCTGCCCTTCCTGGTAAGTTTGCACCTTCCTGGGGGAGTCTTCCCTCTCAGACTCTCCTACGTGGGAGGACTGAGCAAGGTCCTGAATGAGGAGTGCAGCTCGCAAGAGGGTGTCAGGGGACCCAAGCCCTCCCCCACCCGCCCCTGGGGCCCCGGCCCACCTTGACCTGGGCATAGAAGCTGCCCAGGCTGCAGCAGACGCGGCACTCGAGCATGGCGTCATCATTGTTGTGGGCATAGCGCAGGGCCTTCTCGAAGCTCTCCAGGGCCTTCTGGAAGAGGCTGAGGCCCAGGAAGGCATTGCCCATGCTCAGGCTGACCTGGCCTCCGAGCTGGGCGCCTGCCCTGGTGCCGGGCAGGCCGAGGCAGGTCTTGCAGTAGGAGATGGTCTTGTGGAACTCACAGAGCTTCTCGTTGCTGCGTGCCAGGTTCAGGTAGCTCTCCAGAAGGAAGTCAGCATCCTCCAGCTCCCGAGCAGTGTCGATCTGCACCACAGCGAACTGCCCGGAGGGTTGGGGCAGTGCGGTCAGCCTGGACTCTGAGCCTCGGACCCGGGCCTCCTCCCTGCCTCGCAGCTGAGGCCTCGGACGCAGAGCTTCCAGCCAAGGCCTCAGACGAGTTCTCTGCTCCCCAGCCATAGGCTAGAAGTGTCAGACCTGGAGCCACACTCAGACCCATAGCCTTCACCTTTTGACCCCAGCCTACCCGCACCACCCACCCACCCACCCACCCCCAGCCCCAAAGCTGGAGCTCACGCCCCCTCAGGCTCCGACTCAGCACCCCAAACAGGAAGGCTGGAACCTAGCTTCCGGGACCCAGCCTGGAGATTCTCAAACCCTGAAGCTGAGAAGCTCTGTCTCAGTCTCAGAGCAAAGTTCAAGGCCACAGGGGCCTTCGACCGGACTCAGAGCCCCAGCGGGGCTGGGCTGCTAGCCTGTGGGACATGTGGGTGTCCGAGGAGGCGGGAGGGTCCAAAGCCTGGGGGTAGCCAGCTCAGGCCCACCTTTAGCATCTCCTTGTAGCGGCCCATCTCCGAGTGTGCAGTGACCAGACAGCCCAGCACGCGAAAGCGCCCCACGAGGTCCGCGCTCTTCTCCAGCACCTTCATCCACACGTGCAGTGCCTTCTCCGTCTGGTTAGCCTGGTACAGCTGGAGCCCCTTCTCGATCTGCTGCTTCGTCTGGTCCTGCCCCATCCTTCCAGAGCCCTGTGCCGCTCGAGGACGGAGAGACCCTGGTGGCTCTGGGCTTCTAGGCATTCATGGTGGGGACCCCAGGGTCAGCTGCCCACGAACCCCAGGAAGGAGAGCAGTGCCAGGCAGGAACCGAGCAGGGCCTGGATGGAGAGCGGGCGCCACCCTGGGAACAAAGCTGGTCCGGCCCCTGTCCGCAGCTGTCCCTGCCAGTTGGGGCCACGTGGCCGCTGAGGAATGTCAGCCACACTGTCACGCGGGCCTCTGCCGTCCCCACCCCCAAGCTGGGAGGTGGCTTCCCAAGGATGCAGCCACCCTGCTCCCTGGGCACCCCCTTTGGTGGCTCTTCAGCACCTCTGACACTGGCCCCAACCTCCCTTGGCAGTGTGGGCCCTCCCGGCAGCCTGGCCAAGGAGCCGCCCCCAGGGACGGGCTGAGGGCCTGGCGGAAGCTGAGGGGACGTGAAGCAGGTGGCCAGCCCTGAGCCCTGCCTCTCCCCATCACAACCTTCCCCCTAGACCTACCCTCCCCCAGGCTCTGTGTCTGGGATTCGCTGGGCGCCGGGCACCGGGGGCTCTTACCCATGTGTATGCCCACACCATTCCCAACATCTCGTCCTAGCTCACAGTATGACCCAAGCCAAGTCATTCACCTCTCTGTGCCTCAGCCTCCTCATCTGTCAAATGAGGGTAACAATAGGCTAATAAACCCTGACTCAGAGGGCTGTTTGAGGCAGCACAGGGTAGTAGGGAACAGCATGGACCCTGGAGCCAGGCAGACTCTGCCATTAGCTGTGTGGGCCGTGTGACTTTGGGCAAGAGCGTACTGCTACCTACCGCAGTGGATTGTTAGAACTAAGGACTTACCAGCTGAAGAGGACATAGAACAGCAGGAGGTCATCCCGAGCTGTGTCCGACTGTTCCATGGCCCACTGCCCACCAGGGACAGGAGTTGATCCCTGAAGGGTTAAAGAGGTGTCCTAATTCCAATCCCCATCCCAGTTTGAAAGGGTCCCAGAAAATGAGCTTTAATGCCAGACACTGTGGAGGAGGGCAAAATCTTATGCAGGGAGCAGACTCCTGGAATATGGGGGCTCCTAGTGTTGAGAGGCCCTAGGGAATGGGGCCCCAGCTCCACCAGCTCGTCTCCGCCCATTTTTCTCCTTCCTCTCTGTACACCACGCTCCTTCTTGCCCCAGGGCAAAGTTCATCTTTTCAGAGTGGACAGTCTTTAGTCCATTCACAAATTTGTGCATTGATCACCACTAACTCCAGAACATTTTCACCATGTCAAAAAGAAGCCCCATACTGATGAGCAGTCACTCCATTCCTCCCGTTACAGTTGAATGGGTGTCCTCCTTGAATCATACGTTGAATTCTCTTTTTAAAGATTCTTTTTATTTATTTGAGACAGAGAGAGAGAGAGAGAGAATGAGCGGGGGAAGGGGCAGAGGGAGAAACAGACTCCCCAGTAACCAGGGAGACCGACGCAGGGCTCTATCCCAAGACTCCAAGATCATGACCTGAGCTGAAGGCAGATGCTTAACTGACTGAGCCACCCAAGTGCCCCAATTCCTTTTTTATTTTTTTTAAAGATTTATTTAGTGGAGTGCCTGGGTGGCTCAGGTGGTTAAGAGTCTGCCTTCGGCTCAGGTCATGATCTCAGGGTCCTGGGATCGAGCCCTGCATCGGACTCCCTGCTCAGCGGAGAGTCTGCTTCTCCCCCTCTCCCTGCCTCTCCCCTGCTTGTGCTCTCTTATGCTCTCTCTCAAATGTATAAATAAAAATCTTTAAAAGATTTTTTTAGTTATTTGAGAGAGAGTACGAGAGAGTGTGCACACATGAACCCATGGGAGGGGCAGAGGAAGAGGGAGAGAATCTCAAGCAGACTCCCTGCTGAGCACGCAGCCCAGTGCACAGGGCCCGATCTCACAATCCTGAGATCATGACCTGAGCCGAAATCAAGAGTCAGACGCTTAACTGACTGAGCCACCCAGGCTCATATGTTGAATTCTTTTTTTTGTTTTTAAAACCTCAGAGACTCCTCTGAATGTGTGTGTGTATATGTGTGTGTGTGTGT